AAGAAATTCATCATGTTCTTGCATCGGAGAGTTCAGTTTGTAACCTAGGACTTGCTTGTCCTCAGTGCACAGAAATGAGATCAATCTGATACCATATATATATATATTTTAGAAATGATTTGGAAAATATTTGAACACCTTGTCTTAAAATATTTTATTCATCATGTTAAAATAAAATGTTCCATAATCAATTTTTCCCCTTTTCTCCCCCCCCCCAATTTTTCCAATTGAAAACCGGAAAAATTCAGAAAAAAAACGTTTTTTTTCCTAAAGCCTTTTTTGTTTTTCCCCGCACCTTCACATCTCTAGCCAGGGCCCCAGAACGTCTGACATGGAGGACCAGTAAGTCATGTATTAAAAAAAGGTAAAGGTTCCCTTGCTCAAAAGCCAGTCGAATCTGACTCTCCTTTTCAAAGCCGAAGAGCCAGCGCTGTCCGAAGACGTTTCCGTGGTCATGTGGCCGGCATGACTCAACACCAAGGCGCACAAAACGCTGTTACCTTCCCACCAAAGTGGTACCTATCTATCTACTTGCAATGTCTTGCTTTCGAATTGCTAGGTTGGCAGGAGCTGGAACTAGAGGCGGGAGCTCGGGTCTCGAACTGCCGAACTACCGACCTTCCACAGCCTCAGTTCAGCGTCTTAACCACTTGAGCCACCGCAACTCCATGTATAGCCTTGCGCTAAGTGATTGTGTTTGTGAGCCTCAGTTTTCCCTTCTGTAAATTGGGTATTATGTTGAGAGCAACCCCCCTCCCCCCCGGGAAGTGCATAATGGAAAGTGCTCTCGAGATGTAATCGACTAATGCCGACCCCTTCGAGGGTTTTTAAGGCAAGAGATGTTCAGAGGTGGGTTTGCCCTTGCCTGCCTCTGCAGAGCAACCCTGGACTTCCTTGGGGGTCGCCCATCCAAGGACTGACCAGGGCCCGACCCTGCTTCGCTTTTGAGATCAGATGAGATCGGGCTAGCCGGGGCCCTCCAGGTCAGGGTGGGAGGCGCATATTGATCCCCCTATTAAGCCAGCGTGGTGTAGATCCCCCGGTCCCAGGCCACGTAAGGCTTTAAAGGTCAAAACCAACACCTCGAATTGGGCTCGGGAGCCGATCGGCAGCCTGCGTCATTGCTGCAGGATTGGGATCCCATGTTCCCCTGGCAGCTGGCCCCGACCAGCAGTCTAGCCAAAGAGATCTGCACTAGCTGCAGCCTCCGAACACTCTTCAAGGGTAGCCCCCGAGTAAAGTGCATTGTAGTAGTCCAGTCTGGCTGGATCACTAGGGCTAGGTCAGACTGAGGCAGGCTAAGTTGGGGGAGTGGTCCCTGTGTAAGGGCCTGCCCAGAGTGGAGGGCAGGAAACAGGTGAAACACCCCCCGCCCGTGCTGTCTTATTTCTTAGAAGCCCCCCTGGGACAAGGGCATTAAGAACATAAGAACATAAGAACATAAGAGACGCCAATGTTGGATCAGGCCAAAGGCCCATCCAGTCCAACACTCTGTGTCACACAGTGGCCAGAAATACCAGTGCCATCAGGAGGTCCAGCAGTGGGGCCAGGACATTAGAAGCCCTCCCACTGTTGACCCCCCCCAAGCACCAAGAAGACAGAGCATCACTTGCCCCAGAGCCCCTAGCTATACCTTGTGGCTAATAGCCACTGATGGACCTCTGCTCCATATGCTTATCTAATTCCCTTTTGAAGCCATCCATGCTTGTAGCACCCACCACTTCCTGTGGCAGTGAATTCCAAGTGTTAATCACTCTTTGGGTGAAGAAGGACGTCCTTTTATCCGTTCTAACCCGACCGCTCTGCAGTTTCATGGAGTGCCCACGAGTTCTTGTATTGTGAGAAAGGGAGAAAAGTACCTCTTTCTTTACCTGCTCTTTCCCATGCATAATCTTATAAACCTCGATCATGTCACCCCTCAGTCGTCTTTTCTCCAAGCTAAAGAGCCCTAAGCGCTTTAACCTTTCCTCATAGGGAAAGTGTTCCAACCCTTTTATCATTCGAGTTGCCCTTTTCTGCACTTTTTCCAAAGCTATAAAAAAATATTTGAACACCTTGTCTTAAAATATTTTATTCATCATGTTAAAATAAAATGTTCCATAATCAATTTTTCCCCTTTTCTCCCCCCCCCCAATTTTTCCAATTGAAAACCGGAAAAATTCAGAAAAAAAACGTTTTTTTTCCTAAAGCCTTTTTTGTTTTTCCCCGCACCTTCACATCTCTAGCCAGGGCCCCAGAACGTCTGACATGGAGGACCAGTAAGTCATGTATTAAAAAAAGGTAAAGGTTCCCTTGCTCAAAAGCCAGTCGAATCCGACTCTAGGGTTGCGGTGCTCATCTCTTCCTAATAATCCCCAGCATAACATTGGCTTTTTTTATTGCAGTCACACACTGTCTCGACATTTTCAGTGAGTTATCTACTACAACTCCAAGATCTCTCTCTTGCTCAGTCTCTGCCAGTTCAGACCCCATCAATGTGTATTTATATTTAGGATTTTTGGCTCCAATGTGCATCACCTTGCACTTGGCCACATTGAACCCCATTTGCCATGTTGACGCCCACTCGCCCATCCTTGACAGATCCCCTTGGAGTGCCTCACAATCCTCACTGGTTTTCACCACCCTGAACAACTTTGTATCATCCGCAAATTTAGCCACTTCACTGCTTACTCCCATCTCCAAATCATTAATGAACAAGTTAAATTAATTTAGTTAATTCATTCATGTACACCCCACTTTTCTCCCCAAGGGGAAGCTGAAGTGGCTCATAGCATTTTCCCCTCTTCCATCCTCTCCTGCATTTTGTCCTCTCAACAGCCCTGCGAATTGAGATCAGATGAGATCGGGCTAGCCGGAGCCCTCCAGGTCAGGGTGGGAAGCGCATATCGATCTCCATATTAAGCCAGCGTGGTGTAGCTCCCCCGGTCCCAGGCCACGTAAGGCTTTAAAGGTCAAAACCAACACCTTGAATTGGACTCGGGAGCCGATCGGCAGCCTGTGTTGCCTTGCTGCAGGATCCGGGATCCCGTGTTCCCCTGGCAGCTGGCGCCGACCAGCAGTCTAGCCAAAGAGATCTGCACTAGCTGCAGCCTCCGAACACTCTTCAAGGGTAGCCCCCGAGTAAAGCGCATTGTAGTAGTCCAGTCTGGCTGGATCACTAGGGCTAGGTCAGACTGAGGCAGGCTACGTTGGGGGAGTGGTCCCTGTGTAAGGGCCTGCCCAGAGTTGTGGGGGCGGAAAAAGGTGAAAACCCCCCCCCCCCCGTGCTGTCTTATTTCTTAGAAGCCCCCCTGGGACAAGGGCATTAATTTAGTTAATTCATTCATGTATACCCCACTTTTCTCCCCAACAGGCAGTGGCTTATAGCATTTTCCCCTCCTCCACCCGCTCTTGCATTTTGTCCTCTCAACAGCCCTGCGAGGTAGGTTTGGCTGTGCCTGGCCCAAGGTCACACAACGCGCTTCCATGGCACAAGTGAGGATTCGAACCTGGATCTCCCAAGACTACTAGTCCAGCACTCTTCCCCACTGCAGTTTGGTGTAGTCGTTAGGAGCACGGACTCTAATCTGGGAGAACCGGCTTTGATTCCCCACGCCTTCCCATGCAGCTGCTGGTGTGACCTTGGGTCAGTCACAAGTTCTCTCAGAGCTGTTCTCTCGAGGGCAGTCCCCGAAAGAGCTCTCTCAGCCCCACCTACCTCACAGGCAGTGTTCCCTCTAAGCTGAGTTAGTGTGAGCTAGCTCACAGTTTTTTAGCCTAGGAGCGTGGACTCTAATCTGAGAGAACCGGCTTTGATTCCCCACGCCTTCCCATGCAGCTGCTGGTGTGGCCTTGGGTCAGTCACAAGTTTGCTCAGAGCTGTTCTCTCGAGGGCAGTCCTCGAAAGAGCTCTCTCATCCCCACCTACCTCCTAGGGTGTCTGTTGTGGGGAGGGGAAGGGAAAGTAGTTTGTTAGCCGCTCTGAGACTCCTTTCGGGTACTGAAGGGCAGGGTATAAATCCAATCTCTTCTCCTCTTCTTCTCCCCAAAGGCTCTGACGGGACCGTCCGCATCTACAATACCCAGGGCTGGGGCCCGGCCCCCCAGGAAGGCAAGCCGCTCTTCGTTCACCGGGGACACCTCTTCAGCAGCACGGAATCAGGTGGCTGCCCTGCCCTGGTGACTGCTCACACCTGGCACCCCAGCAAGCCACGGACCTTGTTATCGGCAGCCACGGACGGGTCGCTCCACGTGTGGGACTGGGCCGAACCTTGCGGGGCCAACTAGACCCCCCCCCCTTTGCTCACCCCCACAGATTGGTGGCTGGGGATCGCTCCGTCTTTTGCAGCTGTTTGTGGAAACCTACCCGGGTCTTCCGAGAAGGAAGAGTGCGTGTAAATCTAAAGAGCCGGTCCTCTCTCCCAAAACCAATGCAGATTTTGCAAGAGCATAAAGATGTGTTTTTGTGGGGTTTTTTTTTTTGGGGGGGGGGATCCCGGTCAGATTATCCCAAACAAGTATATTGTGTGACGAACACTTTTATTACTAACATATAGCTTAACACGGAGATGATCTCTTTCTCTTGGGTTTTTAGTTAGTGTGGGTATCTTTTCTTTATCCCTAGTTGTAGTCCCTCCCTATATTTTTCATTGTCGTTCAGTAGTCTCATGAAAAATAATAAAATTTCTCCTCGGGGGTTTCAACAACAACAACAAAAAGATTATCCCAAACAAGAAAAAGGTTACAACGGGGCGGGTCTTCGCTGACATCATACTCCAAGAAGAAACCCGTCTGGGGTTTGCGTTCCCTGAAGCTCTTCCCACATTTCAGGTCCCCGGGAAAAGGGGTGAAAGAGTTTCCACCAAAACGGCCTTTTTCCCGGTGGATGTCAAGAGTGGCAAACCAGGTTAATGGGATCTAATCGGTGTAGCGACGGGTGCGGGAGATGCCACCAGGGCCTGGCCTAAAGGACAAATCTGGAAAAAAACTGTTGAAATTAAAAAATGAATATAAAACCCTTATTAGGCAGAGCATAAAACACAAATCCCATGTGTTTCAGTAGTCCGTTTGGGAGCGTTTTTCCCATTAAAACTTAATACTGGAAATTTGTATTCTCTTTCTCTGCTTATGAGAACTTTAAAAAAAATTGGTTGCACCATGCAGGGGTCATTTGCCTCGCTGTCCTGGGTTTAGTTTGGCTGCAGTTGTCATAGCTAATGAAACATTAAAATGGTTCCCAAAAGGGCAGATTTATTGGGGTTAGTGTATGTTTGTGTTGGCAGAGCACATGAACACATGAAGCGGCCTTATGCTCCTTCGCTGGACGTTTTCAAGCGGAGGATGGACGACCATCTTTTGGGTATGTTGTAAAGCTATTTTTCGGCTCTGCTCCTGAAGAGTGCAGGGGGTTGGACTAGATGACCTGCAACAGGGCCAGAACTCCAGAAGCCCTCCCATTCTCCCCCCCCCAAGCACCAAGAATACACAGCATCACAGCTTCAGACATAACAGCATAAGAGAAGCCAATGTTGGATCAGGCCAATGGTCCATCCAGTCCAGCACTCTGTGGCACACAGCGGCCAAAACCCAGGTGCCATCAGGAGGTCCACCAGCAGGTCCTGAATTCCAAAAGCCCTCCCCAGACAAGAGTGTTCCATCTATACCTCGTGGCAAACAGCCACTCATGGACCTCTGCTTCATGTTTTTGTATCGAATGAACCAAGCTCTGACTAGAGATGTAAAATTTCCGGAAATTTTGAAGCTCGGAAAAAAACCCGTTTTCCCCCCAGTTTATTCCGGAAAAAATGCATCTTGTTCTTGCACTGGAGAGTTCAGTTTGTAACCTAGGACTTGCTTGTCCTCAGTGCACAGAAATTAGATCAATCTGATACCATATATATATATATATATATATTAGAAATGATTTGGAAAATATTTGAACACCTTGTCTTAA